CTTCATTACGCACGACTCTTTCACAAGTGCTGATGAAGCAGCTCTTTCCAGATCCTGTCGGTCCAAACACACCAATTCTTAGTTTATCGACGTCACTGATGTCCAATCCACGAAAGCTGGCCAAATCGATTTTGGAACCAAACTGATAATCAAATAGGTCTTGTCGTTTAGCCATTGACTTGGCTTGAAGCTCCAATAACATTAGACGCTCTTCTTCTTTTCTTAACTCTTCTCTTAGTCTTGCTTCTTCCTCTGCGCGTCTCTGTCGTTCTAATGCTTGTATGAATTTCTGCCGTTCTCTTTCTGCTGCCTGGCTCGCTTCTCGTTCAATTCTCTGTCTCTCTGCATTTTCTCTCGCTCTCCGTTCATTTTCAAGGCGATTTTTCTCCCTTTGTCTTTCCTCTTCTTGTCTTTTTTTTGAGTGGTCGACATAAGTGTACTGAGTCTCAGTGCCTTTACTTCCACCACCCTAAATATATATCACAAACACCTTAATTGTCTTAAAAATACGCATACACACCTTAAAATCACACATATACAACAATATGATATTCAACAAATCATTTCTAACGTGGTTCTAAGTGAATCAAACTGGTAAGATGAACAAGTGATAGATGTATTTTTCCAGTGATACATCAAAATGTGCATCGACATGAAGTTTGAATAAAGTTTATTGTTTTTTGTTTTTTTCAATTTCCAGTGATAATCAAACAGCAGTACTGTATACGTGAGTTTTCCTGGAAAAACAAATTGCGATCTGGAACAACCATATGATAAACACACTATGTATCAGTCAGTTAAAACCCTTGTCCCGCAATCTCCGCGACGACCGGAAAATTAACACATTGTAGTCGGGGATTTAAAAGTTTTAACAGCACAATTAACGGTCTAAAGGCCGAAAAACTAACGTCCAAATCAAAAGAAATGATCTGTTTAGCCGCCTTTTTTGAAGGGCTGGGAAATGCGCTGCGGGGAATTTAACATTTTGAAATGTTAATCCACCGGGGGAGGGGGGTGGGGGCTGATAACCGTGGTTACGTACAATTAACTATTGCACACTCATCCCCTTTAAAAACATTTCAGTGTTTATATATTCCTAAACAAAATCACCCCACCCCCAACCGCTAAAGTTTTTTTTTGCTTTCACTTTCAAACTACGATAATTCAAAAGAATATTTGCTAGGCTGTATACGAGAAAAGTGAATCAGTCTAGGATAGATCGAGTTATAGAAGATGTAAGACTTTTAAAAATGTCCATTCTAAAATCATCTATACAGTATTTATGCCATTCTATATCTTAAATGAAGGTCGTCYGGCGGCACAGTGCGGAGGAACCTCTCGCACCAGCSTTCATTATTCACGATTTCTACAGTTTCTATAGTACTTACTCCCATAGTTGTATAGAATGCGAAGTCAATACGATGTCGACAACTTCAATAGACGTTAGCCCCTACAGCCCGGGCCTGTAATGTTTCAGAATATATAGAAAAACAAGAACCACAGCTTGCTATTTCGTAGGGAAAGTCCCTTCCACGAATTGAAACTCGTGATGTGGGCATACTTTCGCGGAATTCTATAAATAGTTTATGTCATATCGTGACAGAAGAGCGTGACTTAGTCAGAGCGATTTGATGAARATCTAAAATACTATTGCTTCAACTTTAACAATAATGTATGTAATATAAATAGTGTAAAAGGTGTGTTTCATGTTATGGTATAGACCAAATCAAAATGACAGAATTTTGCAAGTCACTGGGAATTCCCATTTCCTGTTTTTCTGAGAATACCTCTTACTGTGCTGATCGGACTGACAGTCTGGGACTTTCCGTCACGCACTATGCAAAGTCATAAGTTGTGAAATGGAAACATTTCCGAGCATCACTGAATCAATGTATATATGTCCCAAGCCAGTATGTATTAGAAAATATGAAAAAATGTTTAGCACGATCTCGCATTACTCAAAATTCAAACGTCTTTTTATCTGAAGTGATTGAGCAATACAAGGTTTTATTTAAAAAACAAGAAAAAAATTCACTTGTTACATTGACGGATTTTATCGGTTGATTATAACCCAATTAATGTTAGCCTATCATCCGGGATTCTGTTCTAATATATGTCCAAACATCCCCTTGTTCTCTTGCTAATGTAGGCATGACTTTGCAAAGTGACGTCATGGTGAATCAATCAATCAATCCATCAATCAGCTCGCCGCAAGGAACGCCTGGGGTCTTGGCTGGTTCCGACTCCCTGTTCGATTTTGAGACGCAAACTTGGGTTTTGTCAGTTTTGTCAAGTATTCCATAGTGGCACGTTTATCAAAATAACTTGAAATTGAAATTGAATTAAATTGAATGAAAGCAATTACACTCTATGTGTAAACTAATTTATTTTGTTTTATTTCTAAACGTCATCACTTAATTAGAAGCTTACACAATTTAACTACCTTCATGCACCTACGTATTTTAAGATACGTTTATAAATTGTAATTTGATAATCTATATACTTTAGAAATAATTGAATAAAAATTGATCTTTGTGGACTCTGGCCCTCCTTAACCACACTACCCTTTTACTCTTTCTACTATTGGGGTTCCTTTAGAAGAACTGGTGAAGAAGAGGGCAACTGGGAAGTAGGGAGACGTTTCATTGTTTGTTTCCAGTATCTTCRGTCTYTAACTCAGTAACACCAAGGAACAACCTATGTTAACTTAATCACAACTATGAAAAAACACTGCATACACCAAAATCATGATTATAGGAATCGCGATGGAAATAAGAACATACTGAAAAGTTTGGCCAGATGTTTTAAACATAATCTTTAAATACTTATCGATGACATTTCGCATTTTTAAAGGAACCGTCTTATCTATCTCTTTCCAGGTTTTGTTCAGGACCCCTATGGTTTTGATGTCTTCCTGGTCTGTTTGATCCAATACTTTTTTGAGGTCTGCGTCTTTCCATCCGTACTTGGCTTGAAGTGCTGTCAGAAAAAGGTCAACTGGAACTAGAATGTAAATAAAGAACAAATGGTTATGAATAAATATGTTCATGAGTTCATGTACTCATGTCTATACATGTACGGATTGCTCCATCTCTCGCACCCTATATCGGGTGAACCGATCACATCACTTCGGTTACTTTCCCTACTGACTGCATCCCTCAGATTTTGACTTCACTTTTTGTTTTGTGTATTTATTGTTGTTTTTTGTTCCTTGGAGGTTTTCAGCTTCTACTTGCTTTTCTTCCACCATAAACGGGTTGACCACAGGATGTCAGTAATTACCACTGGAAAAAATCGCTCGCTCTAAAGGTTACAAATTTGATGTAAATATGATGTAAGTTTCCAAAATTCTGTAAATTTGATGTAAATGATTTCTATTGAATTTATAGAATTTTGGGCACTTACATCATATTTACATCAAATTTACAACCTTTAAAGCGCGCGATTTTTCCAGTGTATAGCACTATCGAAGCAGGGACGGAAAGGGGTCGCCGCCTTGTTTTGCTGTTACTGGGAAAAAAATCGTTGTCCAAATCCCTCAAAATGCTGGAAATCACATTTTCTGGATCTCAATTTCAAAATCCACCCCTATCCCCCCACCTTAAATTTCTGGATCCGCCCCTGCGAACATGACAATTATTAGCGCTAAACTAGGACTGTAAGTTACATCCAATTATTTTAACTCCATTTCTAAGATACGCCGCTTACTTGTGGGATCGACGAGTAGTGTTTGTACGTTGTTGCAGATATCGTCTATTGCCTTCTGAATTTGATCCTCCTGTCTGTTCCTCTTCTGTTGTTTTGCTATCTTAACATAACGTTCGGCTGTAGTGAGAGCAAAATGCAAAATATCGAAGACTTGGAGCTCKGTGTTSACGTCAGGTCCAGGATTATCAGGGCAATAGTTGGCCACAAAGAACGTGTGACTRCGTGAGCTTCCTGTAGCYGCTGAAGCAAGCTCTAGGGCATCCTCACACTCTTTCTGTGTTTTGAGGGTGTCTCTGTGTGTCACCACCGTTACAGGGGAAAAACCTATTAAAGACATAATTGTAATATTTCATTTGTCTAAAGATTTTACTCGTTTGAATATGCGTGTTCAGAGTCGTGATATGGTATGTTTTGTTGTTGAWGATTTTGCGCCCTGATCCCCAAGTATTTGAGAGATTCCTTCAATGTTATTCTARATGATCCAGCAGCTGTCATTCCAATCCCAAAGCTAAAATCCTGATCCTTCATCTAAAAACTAATGCTGATCCCTAATGCTATATATGATGTCACGACCCCCTGCTGTTTTTTTTTTTGCAACAACGTAGCCTGGTTCCAACTGAAGCTTAGTGTCTTTTAGGCTTTTGCATACTACATTTTTACGTCAAAAACAAACCGATTAACGATCATTCGCGTCTTGATAAAATAGTATAAGCAAAAGAATAAAAGACAAGTCCCTGGAAACAGGGTAGCAACAACGTTTAAATATTGATACGTCGACTAGCTTTCCAAAAAATATTAAAATTATAAAATATTGAAATTATAAAATATTAAGAATTTTATTCTCTCACCTATCGTGCGCAATAACATTCTTATTTGACTAAAATAATCTTTCAACATTCCATTGCGGAGTCGAGTATCCTGTCCRTTAACTACCAGAATYATACCATGGGTCCAGTCACTAAATGGCGCCTCTTTTCTCTTCACTTCTGGTGGATGAGATGACAYATCGCCTGYTCTMTTTATGACATCTCCGGGTTTCACTCGGCCATACAAAATGTCGTTGAACTCACACTCCTCGCTAGCATCGTAGTGGAAAAACCCTCTGGTGTCAACCAGTCTGAAGAACATCTCAGAAAGGAAGTCTTCGAG